GAACTCCTTCATGGTGTTGACAGGCAGCCTGCCGTCAACGATGAGGGCCATGTTGACGAAGGTCACGCGGGTGACCGGGATGAGGTCGGTCAGCGGGTTGTAGGGCAGCTTCCTGAACAGGAACTGGTTGGTTGAAAAGGTCGGGTCGGCGCCCCAGAGCATTGTGTAGCCGTCGGCGGGCGACTTGGCGACAAGGTCTGCCGCAATCACTTCATTGCCGCCAGCGCGGTTGTCCACCAGCACGGGCTGGCCCCATTCCTTCGACAGGCGATCCGCGTATCCGCGGGCCACACCATCGACGGGGCCGCCAGCAGCGTAGGGCACGATGAGCTTGATGGGTTTGCTGGGATAGCTTTGTGCCGCCGCGTGCGCGGACAGCAGGCAGGCCGCGCCCAGCAGCAGGGTGTTGATGAATGTCTTCTTTGTCATGGCCGTCTCCAGGTGTGGCTTGGTTTTGTTGATGGTGTATCGGGGTTTCATTGCTCCAGGCGCGCGCCTGCTTCACGAATCCGTTTTTCGGCCAGCTTGCGGTCGCCGACGAGGAACTTCGCGAACTGCTCCGGGGTTTCGGTGATCGGCTCATAGGCATACGGGTCCAGCGTTTTCTCGATAAATTCAGCATCGTTGGCAACCTTGCGATTGGCTGTCGTGATGGCGTCGATGACGTTTTTAGGCGTGCCCTTGGGCACTGCGAAGCCCACGTAGAAGAAGGCCTGTGTATTGGGGAAACCAGCCTCTGCGTAGGTCGGCACATCGGGCAGCGATTTGGTGCGCTTGTTGCCGTTGATGGCCAGCAGCTTCATCTTGCCCGACGCAAGGTGCGGCTTGGCCACCGTGATGCCGCCCATGGTGGCCTGTATCTGGCCGCTCAGGATGTCCTGCAATGCAGACGCGGTGCCCTTGTAGGCAATGTGCGTCATGTCCAGGCCCTGCTGGCGCAGGAAGGCATCAAACTGCACGTGCGCGGCAGTACCCGCACCGGCCGAATAGTTGAACTTGCCGGGGTTGGCCTTGACCAGCGAAACGAACTCCTTCATGTTGTTCGGCGGGAAGGTTCCGCTCAGGATGATGGCCATGTTCACGATGGCGATGCGGCTGACCGGAATGAGGTCTTTCACAGGGTCGTAGGGCAGCTTCTTGAAGAGGAACTGGTTGGTTGCAAACGTCGGGTCGGCCCCGAAGAGTATGGTGTAGCCGTCGCTGGGACCCTTGGCGACATAGTCAGCCGCGATGATCTCGTTGGCCCCGACCTTGTTCTCAACCACGACGGGCTGGTTCCAGATCTTCGAGAGGCGGTCTGCAACGCCGCGAGCCACGCCATCCACCGGGCCGCCCGGAGGGTAGGGCACGACGAGCTTGACCGGCCTGGTCGGGTAGGCCTGCGCCATGGCCTGCGCGCTAAAAGCGCATACGCCGGTCAGGATGCAGGCGCGAAGGAATGTTGTCAGTTTTGTGTTCATGTTTGTCTCCGGTAAGGTTGGTTGATGGCCGCCCGGTTGCTCTGTTTGCGGCTTTGTGGGGGATTCAGGGGCATTCAAAGGCCAACGAGTTCAGCCGCATTGGTCGACCCCATCTTG